CCCCAAAACCCCAAAACCCCAAAACCCCAAAACCCCGGAGTTCAATATTTTATGTTATATATTGTAAATTAATCAGAAATAGTAAAGTATATAAAGATTGTTGCAATACATCTAATTTTAATTCACATTACTGAGAAATGCTGATTTAATGTTTTAAGCAATTCCTTAGAATCAGCATGCTCAGGGTATATCTAAATTGCTGAATTTGCCATCTAATAGCTTTCCTAGAATTCACCTTTCTTTAACATTAGCAAAGATGCATTAAAGCAAGGCTCAAACAGATAACTTGCGATCTTCGAAGATTAAATGTAGTTATTCCTAGCTTATTCAATATTACCCCTTCTTAGTTCAAGTACACCTAGGTTATTAAATGCTTCAGCATGATTAGGATTAAGTGAAACAGCAATCTTAAAACATTAATAAGCTAAGCCGAGATCTCCTATACCGATACCTACATGGCCAATATTGTACCAGACGTCTGCTGCATTTGTATCATCCGATAATGAAAGTGCTCGATCAAAACAACTTAATGCCATATCGTATTAAGATGCATAAAAGCAGCACAGACCAAGATTGTTCCAGAGCTCAGTATTTTAGACTCCACATTAAACAAGTCTCCTATAAAATCTCAAAGCCACCTCAGGCTAATCTGTGTAAAAATGATAACTTGCCAATTACGCTATTGATTCAATGCTTGAGTTATCGAAGATTAATATTTTCTTATAAAATGTGACTGCTTTGCCAGGATCATTTAGTAAGTCATGTATTCTTGCGATACCAGTTATCAGATGAGTTTCATAAGGATATTTCTTCATAGCATTTGTATAAATTTCGATTGCTCTCAAAGGTTAGTCTTATTTAATCGCGATTTTAGCTAATTCGATCTAAGTCGTAATCATGTCCTAAGTTTTTAAGGATGATATAAACTGCTTTTCAGCATCCTTAATAATTCCCATTTTGAATTAGCATTTCCCAATGCGCGATTTCCACCACCAATCATTATAGTTAACCAATGATGTGGCTTCACTTGCAATATCAAGAGCTCTTCTAAAATTTGATTCTACGTATATTAGGTAATCTACAACTGCTTTAGCAATATGCTTTTTTTTGGCAACATTTTTCGCATTCAACTTATCTGCCATTATAAACTAAGCTCCTTGCTGTATCATTGAAGCAGTCCCTAATCTAATCATTCTTCCACCTGATGTAACAGGTCTGTTTGTTCCAGGTCTTTGACCTTAGAGTGCTGTGGCAAGATTACCTCTTGAGCTTCCAGTAACAGGTCTATTTGTACCTGGTCTTTGATATCCGGTAATTGGCCTTCCTGCATTTGACATTGGTCTTACCATTTATGAGATTCCTCCAGGCTATCCAGCTGATGATAGTGGTCTTGAGAATGAAGTTCCTGGCCTCGGTGCATTATTGATTGCATTTTCATCTATATTTATTAATTAAGTTACAACCTACCCATTAATATATCAGCCACTCCTTCTTCATCGATTTCTAAATCATCAATCCAGCTCTTTTTTGTTAAAGCTCTGCATTTCAATAGCCATGCTGCCTAACTTGTAAAGATAAGTGATATTACCTAATCATAAGGATTCTTGTCAAGCATTTAGGTACAAATTTCAATGCATTCATCGAATTTCTATCTATTGAATCTACTGAGAGCAAGAACAAAGGGATCCATTTTGATTTTAAATTTATATTTTAACTTTAAACTTTTATACAAGAATAATGAAATCTTGTAAATACTTGAATATAAGATTTTTTTACTGAATCTTAAATATATATCTAACTCTTATTCAGAGATGAACACCTTCGCTTCTTCTCTATCCCATAAGCATGGCCATACCTTCGCCCATTTTAGCTGGGTTGTGTACGACGTGGATTCCGTTCTTCTCAAGAGCCTTGATCTTGTCTCTAGCACCACCCTTTCCTCCGGAGATGATAGCACCTGCGTGACCCATTCTTCTGCCTGGGGGAGCAGTCTGTCCTGCGATGAAACTGAGGATTGGAAGATTTCTATGGTTGTTTTTTGAAAGCCACTCAGCAGCTTCTTCTTCGGCTTCTCCTCCAATTTCTCCAATCATGATGATTCCGTGAGTCTCTGGATCTACGACAAATCTCTCAAGAACATCAATGAAGTTGGTTCCGTTGAATGGATCTCCACCAATACCAACGACGGTTGATTGACCCAGCCCGACACTTGTTGTTTGATCGACTGCCTCATAAGTGAGGGTTCCTGATCTTGAAACGATACCAATATTTCCTTAGGTGTGAATATAGCCTGGCATAATACCAATCTTGCATTCACCTGGCTTGATAATACCTGGACAGTTAGGTCCAATCAATCTAGTTTTGGTTTAAGCCTTGATCATTGACTTTACTCTGATCATATCAAGTGCAGGGATTCCCTCAGTAATGCAAACTGCGAGATCTACTTCTGCTTCGACAGCCTCTTGAATAGCTTCAGCAGCGAAAGGAGGAGGTACATAGATGACGGTGGCCTCACAATCAGTATATTTCTTAGCTTCAGCTACGGTTCCATAAACTGGGAGATTCAAGTGAGTAGTACCTGCTCTTCTGCTATTGACTCCAGCAACCATTTTAGTTCCGTATTCGATAGCTTGCTGAGTATGGAATGTACCCTACAAAAATTGTAAATTACTGAGATTAAACATACATGCTTTCCAGTCATGCCTTGGCAGATAACCTTGGTATGCTAGTTAATAAAAACGTAAGGTTCAGTACCAGCCTTGTAGACTCCTCTTTTGGTGAAGTTTAAAAGAGGGGAAGAGGTTTAGGCTATAAGCTATCTGGTATGACTATAAGCTTTGGCTAACATCTTTTATGTATTATAATTTATATTAAGTTTATTTGTTTCTTATCAAAGATATTTATTTTCACAACCACTATTTCATCTCGCTTCATTTTCATAAGAGTTTGCATTACGGGGTTTTGGGGTTTTGGGGTTTTGGGGTTTTGGGGTTTTGGGG